CTGTATCTTGTTGAGGTAAAGTCTATTGTGCATACATGGCAGCAGTGAGGGGTAAGGTCTGTTAGAGGTGTGTGTATCTTGATGGTAAGTCTATTGTCTGTGTGGCAGCAGTGAGGGAAAAGAGATCTGTGGGGTGTCTGTATCTTGTTGGTAAAGTCTGTTGTCTGTGTGGCAGCAGTGAGGGTAGAAGGTCTGTGGGGTGTGTGTATCTTGATGAGTAAAGTCTATTGTCTGTGTATTGGCTTGCAGTACAAAGGGAAAGAAGGTCTGTGGAGTGTCTGTATCTTGTTGGTAAAGTCTATTGTCTGTTAAGTGTCTGCAGCAAGTGAGTAGAATCAATTGTCTGTGTAGCTGTGAGGTAGAGTTTAGGTGTCTGTATCGTGTTGGTAAAGTCTATTGTCTGTGTGTAGCTTGTAGTGAGGTAGAGGTCTGTAGGGTGTCTGTATCGTGTTAGTGGAATCTACTGTCTGTGTGTAAGCAGCAGTGAGGGTAGAAGATCTGTAAGATGTCTGTATCTTGTTGAGTAAAGTCTATTGTCTGTGTGGCAGCAGTGAGGGTAGGAGTCTGTGGGGTGTCTGTATCGTGTTGGTAAAAGTCTACTGTGTGTGGTGGCAGCAGTTGAGGGTAGAAGGTCTGTGTGGGGTGTCTGTATCTTGTTGGTAAAGTCTATTGTCTGTCAGTGTGGCAGCAGTGAGGATAGAGGTCTGTGAGGTGTCTGTCGTGTTGGTAAAGGAAGTCTACTTAGTCTGTGTGGCAGCAGTGAGTGATGAGGAGTCTGTAGGGAGTATTCTGTATCTTGTTGGTAAAAAGGTCTATTGTATGTGAGACAGCAGTGAGGGTAGGAGTCTGTGTGGTGTCTCTGTATCTTGTTGGTAAGTCTATTGTCTGTGTGGCAGCTGGTTGAGATTTGTTGAGGTCTGTTGGATGTCTTCTTTGTTGGTAAAGTCTTTTTGTCTTATTATTGGCGGTGAGGGTGCATGTCTGTGTCTGTAACTTTATTGGTGAAGTCTATTTTCTGTGTGTCGCAGTGAGGTAGAAGTCTGTTGGGGTCTGTATCTTGTTGGTGAAGTCTATTGTCAGTTTGGCACCAGTGAGGTTAGGCATGGGGTGTCTGTCTTGTTGGTAAAGTCTATTCTCTGTGAGGCAGCAGTGAGGGGTGAATGCTGTGGGGTGTCTGTGTCTTGTGGGTCTCTGTAATCTCTGTGAGAGGCAGCAGTGAGGGTAGAGCTGTTGGTTTCTGTATCTTGGTGGTAAAGTCTATTGTCTGTGAGGCAGCAGTGAGGGTAGATGTCTGCGGGGTGTCTCTGTATCTTGTGGTAAAGTCTACTGTCGGTTTAGCAGCAGTGAGGTAAAATGTCTGTATAGGAGTGTCATCTTGTAGGTAGAATCTATTGTTTGAGTGGCAGCAGTGAGGGTAAAGCTGTGGGGTGTCTGTATCTTGTAGGTAAAGTCTATTGTCTGTGTAGCAGCAGTGAGGTACATATGTCTGTGGGGTGTCTGTATCTTGTTGGTAAGTCTATTTTCTGTGTAACGTGAGGTAAAGTCTGTAGGAGTGTCTGTATCTTGTTGGTAAAGTCTATTGTCGGTTTAGCAGTGAGGGTAGATGTCTGTGTGGTGTCTCTGTCTGTAGAGTAGAATCCTATTGTTTGAGTGCTAGCAGTGGTAGAAGTCTGTGGGGTGTCTGTGCTGTAGGTAGAATCTATTGTCTGTGTGGCAGCAATTGAGGGGTACATGTCTGTGGGGTGTCTGGCATCTTGTTGGTATATTTTCTATGTGACAACTAGCATTGAGGGTGGTAGAAGTCAATGGGGGTGATACTTGTATCTTGTTAGGAAAAGATCTAGTGTCAGTTTAGCAACAGTGAGTTGATGTCTATTGGAGTGTCTATCTTAATTGGTAAAGTCTATTATTGTCTATGGCAACAGTGAGGAGTACTAAATGGTGTCTGAATCTTGGTCGTGTCTGTATCTTGTTGGTAAAGTCTGTAAATTAATATGTGTATCTTGTTGCAACAGTCCTATTGTCTATTAAGCAGAAATTAGCTGTCTGTGGGGTCTCTGTATCACTGTGAGTAAAGATCTATTGTGTGGTTTGGCAGCAGAGGGTAGATGTCCTGTGGGGTGTCTGTATCTTAGAGTAAAGTCTATTGTCTGTGTGTAACAGTGAGTGTAGAGGTCTGTGGATTGTCTCTGTATCTTGTAGGTAAAGTCTATTGTATGTGAGACAGCAGTGGGGTGTGTGAGGTCTGTGGAAGTGTCTGTATGCGTTGAGTAGAGATCTATTGTATGTTGAGACAGCAGTGAGGGTAAAATGTCTGTTGGAGTGTCTCTCAGATTCTGTCCTGTGTGTTGGGGAGCGGCAGTGGGGATGAAGTCTGATGAGATTAGTGTATGGTGGGATCTGTTATTTTGTGTTGAGAGGACAGCAGTTGGGGTAAAATGTCTGTTGGGAGTGTCTGTATCCTCATGGGTAAGAGAGTCCTATTCATCCTGTTTAGCAACTTAGAGAGGTAGATCTGTGGAGATTATTCTGTATGCTTTGTGGGTAGAAAGTCTATTGTTTGAGTGTGGCAACAGTGAAGTTGCTTGGGGTCTGTGCCGGAGTTGTCTTGGCTTGTGGGTTAAGTCTGTGATGTATTCTGCAGTGAGTGGTGTACATGTCTATTGGGGTGTCTGTATCTTGTTGGTAGGTCTATTTTCTATGTGTGACATTCCGGAATTTGGGGTCTGTGGGGTGTCTTGTCTTGTTGGTAAAGTCTATTGTCTGATAGGACGGCAGTGAGGTTGGAATGTCTATTGGGTGTCTCTGTGTCTTGGTGGTAGAAGTCCTATTCTCTGTGAGGCAGTAGTGAGGGTAGAGGTCTGCTGGAGTGTCATGTATCCTGTTGGTAAAAGAGTCTGTGTCTATGTGGCAACAGTGAGGGGTAGAGGTCTGTGGAATGTCTGTATCTTGTTGGTAAAAGTCTATTGTATGTGAAGAGCAACAGTGAGAAATTGCTGTCTGTGGGGTGTCTGTATGTCTTGTAGAGTACAAAGTCTGTTGTCGGTTTGGCAGAAGGTAGGGTAGGATGTCTGTGGAGTGTCTGTATCTTGTAGAGTAAAGTCTATTGTCATACTTGTGTAGCAACAGTGAAGTGTAGGAGTCTGTGGGAGTGTGGTGTATCTTGTAGGTAAAGTCTATTATGTAGAACAACAGTGGTGAAGTCTCTAGGGTGTCTCTCTCTGTATCTTGTAGAGTAAGTCTATTGTATGAGGGCAGTGAGGGTGTTAAATGTCTGTGGACGTCTCTGTATCTTGTAGGAAAAGTCTGTTGTTGTATGTGAAGAGCAGCAGTGAGGTAGATGTCTGTGGGGTGTCTCTGTATCTTGTAGAGTAAGTCTATTATTGTATGAAGACAACAGTGAGTAGAAATGTCTGTGGGGGCGTCTCTGTATCTTGTAGAGTAAGTCTGTGTCAGTTTTACAGCAGAGATGATGTCTGTAGGATGTCTACGTCTATTGTCTGTGTGGCAGCAGTAGTGTAAAGGTCTGTGGGGTGTCTGTATCTTGTAGAGTAAAAGTCTATTATGTGAGACAACAGTGAGGAGTAAATCTGTGGGGCGTCTGTATCTTACAGAAAGAATCTGTTGTATGTGAGGCAGCAGTGAGGGTGAATGTCTATTAGGAGTGTCTGTATCTTGTGATGCCTCTATTGTCGGTTTTAGCAGCAGTGAGTGTAAATGTATTGGGGTTTCTGTATCTTGTATGAGTAAGTCTATTGTATGTGAGGCAGCAGTGAGGGTAGATGTCTCTGGGGTGTCTGTATCTTAGGAAAAGTCTATTGCATAATGAAGAGCAGCAGTGAGAGGTAGATGTCTGTGGGGTTTCTGTATCTTGTTGGTAAGTCTATTGTCTGTGTGTAATGAGGGTAGGTCTGTGGGGTGTCTGTGTCTTGTTGGTGCGAAGTCTGTTGTCTGTGTGTGACGGCGGTGAGGGGTAGATGTCTTGTGTGGTGTGTCTTGGCCATATCCTGTTTGTGAGTGAGGGATAGAGTCGCCGTTATCTAAGTCTGTTTCGGTGGGGGGTGAGAGACGGAAGATGCGGCGAGGTTTGTTTGGGAATTCAGTAACAACTTGGTTCAGTACACGGTTGCACCTGACATGTGCCTGTACGTCATGACATATTTCGAGACTGGTGAAATCGGTTTACTAGAATGAATGATACTTGAAAGGGAGGCAAAGGGGATTGTGCGTTGTTTGCACGCGGCGGTGCGTTTACCATCAATGGCTCCCCAAATAATTTCATAGCAGAAATATTTATTTATTTTCGCCAGTTGAATGGCTACACCCGCACAGCGTAAGTCTACGTTGATGCATACAGTTTGCACATACCTGACAGGTACACAGTGTGTAAGTCCTAGATTGAGGGGCATGCACTTTGCACATACCTGACGAATGCACAGTGTAAGTCGATGCATACAGTGTTACACATACCTGACGAATTTTAAGTCCTACGTTGATACATACAGTTTACTACCTACTCAGTATGGTGGAACAACTGGCGGAAGATATGGATTGCAATAGTGACAAACAGTTGTCTGGCTAAACATTATTCCGGAGTAAAAGTACATACTGTGTCTCATGACGTGAATCAGATTATGTTAGCTACGTGACCGAGGACTCTGTAAAGAATAACGAATGAATATAAGTAAACCAATATTTAAATAACGTGTTTAGCGAGTAAGTGGGACACGGGTGATGTCGCTTATAACTGATTCTCCCTTAGCTCTGGTTCAAACATATGATTGTATGATCAGCGCCAAATTGTAAAATTGTGTTTTGGGGTTTATTGAGTCTAACGTTGGCAACCATTACTGACCTGCAACACTTCAGGTTTTGCTCCCACGATAAGCAGACACGCCGTCCCTATAGCCGAGCTACCACTAAAACCAGCGTTAAATTGAACTTCCACCACTCTTCTGTTCAATAATAGTGTTTTAAATAAAGTATTGTGAGCGTACTTGCCTTTCAATCAACCAGGCACACCATCTATTACAGGTTCTTCTACATCGTCCACTGCAAAGACATTTGTCTTTTTAGAAAAAGGGCACCTGTTCTGTAAACACCTTCACTTCTTGTTGACTAACAAATTCTCATGTTATTGTCTTATTGTCGTCAATCAGCTTACTGATGCAGGGGTTTCATGTTGTGAGAATGTAGAAAAATATCTGCGTGTTTGTAAAACTAAAAGCAATAAAGAGCTCTGAGTATATTGTTATACCAAGGATTACATATCTGAATAATTGGCCAAATACTAACCAAGAATGAAAAGAAAATGTTGTATCAGGTTGGTACCAGGAACTCACCTCTTCCAGCAACATAAATAGTCGTGAAGAAAGAAGATGATGGTTGGCAACATCCACATCACCTGTCCACTCTGTGTAAAGTACCCATCACCTGGAACAAGCACTATAGGACTAATAGTCTGTGTAACGTACCCATCACCTGGAACAAACACTATAGGACTATAGTCTGTGTAAAAGTACCCATCACCTGGAACAAACACTATAGGACTAATAGTCTGTGTAAGTACCCTTCACCTGGAACACTATATAGGACTAATAGTCACAATGTAACATTACCTTTCACAGAACAAGCTATAGGACTAATAGTCTACTGTCAATGACATTGCCTTCCTGGAACAAGCACTATATAGGACTAATGGTCTCTAACGTTACCTTCCTGGAACAAACTGCTATGGGATTTATTCTGTTCTGATGTTGTATGCACCTGGAACAACACTCTGGGTTATGGTGTAATGTGCCCTTCACCTGGAACCAAACACTCTGGGACTGTGGTCTGTGTGTGTGCAATGCCTGGAACAGAAGCACTATGGATACAATGATTCTTGTTGTGTGCCTTCTGGGACAGGCATAGGGACTGTGAGAATTCTGATGCGATGCTTCGCCTGGAACCGACTTCTGGGACCAAATGGTCGCATTGGCATTGCCCCATTTCACCTGGACAAACGACGCTTAATGGTCTGTGAAATGTACGCTACTTGCTGGAACCTTAGGCAATATGGGGCCCAATGGTCATGATAGCAGTGTTGCCCTTCACGCGGACTGGAAACACAGGATAATATTGCGATGCTGATGGTTGCAAATGCGGAACAGGCGGCTCTGGATTTGTGGTTTGACTGGTGTTGCTTCACTTTGGAACGAAGCATACGGGACTGGCCAGTTAGGTGGCCAGTGGCCGCTACTTACCGGAACAAGCAATGTGGCGCTAATGGTCTGTGCGGTGTTGCCCTTCGCCTGGAAAAACGCTCTGGGACTGTGGTCGTGCGATTGCCCTTCATCGGAACAGATAGCGCGCGCAGGACAAACTGAAGGCAATGATTAACGTATGCTGTGGTCTGTGTAATGTACCCTTCACCTTGACAAACGCATAGGATAACGGTTGTGTAATGCGCTGCCCTTCACACCTGGAGCAAGCACTATAGGACTAATAGTCTGTCTAATTTACTTTTCACCTGGAACAAACACTCTACGGACTATGGTCTTTTGTAGCATTACCCTTCACCTGGAACAAAAACACTCTAGGGCTATGGTCTGATGTGCCCTTCACCTGGAACTCCTAGGACTAATAGTCTGTCTGATGTGACCTTCATCTATGAACAACAGTCTAGGACTAGTCTGACTGATGTGCATTTAAACAAACACTATAGGACTAATGGTCTGTGTAGTACCCTTCACCTGGAACAGAAACACTATATGACTAATAGTCTGTCCTAATGTACCCAACTTCACATGGAACAAACACTATAGGACTAATATTCTGTCTGATGTGCCTTCACCTGGGACAAACACTTTAGGACTAGTAGTCTATGTAATGTCTTACTTCACTTGGAACAAACAGTCGGAACTGGCATTGTCACAATCTAATGTACCCTTCACCTGGAACAAACACTATAGGACGTGGTCTGTGTAATGTACCCTTCACCTAGACAAACACTAAGGACTATGGTCTGCATTCTAGGACCCCAATGGTCTGTGTAACGTCTTCACCTGGAACAAGCTCTAGGACTAATGGTCTATGTAACGTACCCTTCACCTGGAACTGACACTATGGGACTAATGGTCTGATATTAATGTACCCTTCCTAGACAAGCTTACTATAGGACTAAAAGTCTGTGTATTGCAATTCACCTGGAACAAACAATAGGCTAATGGTCCGTGTTATGTACCCTTCACCTGAAACAAACACTCTAGGACTAATGGTCTGTCTGATGTGCTTCACCTGGAACAAACACTCTAGGACTAATAGTCTGTGTAACGTACCCCTTCACCTTGAACAAACACTCTAGGGCTAATAGTCTGTGAAATGTACGCCACCTGGAACAAACAATATGGGGCTATGGTCTGTCTGATGTGCCTCACCTGGGTTTTCGTACTCTAGGACTATATTCTGTCTGATGTTGCCCTTCATCTGGAGCAACCGCTCTACAGGACTAATAGTCTGACTGTTACCTTCACTTGGAACAAACACTCTAGGACTAATGGTCTGTGTGTGTACCCTTGCCTGGAACAAGCAATGTAAGGACTGTGGTCTTGTTCTGATGTTGGCCCTTCACTGGGCAGCTTTCTGGGACCCCAATGGTCTTGTTCTGGGTGTTGCTTCATCTGGAACCATTGCTTGGGTTCTGTGGTTTTATGTGTGCCGGAACAAACACTATGGGATGTGGTCTTGTGTGTGTGCCCTTCACGTGGGCAAGCACTATGGGACTATGTTCTTGATGCAGTGTGCCCTTCTGCCTGGAACAGGCATCTGGGACTAATGGTCTTGTGTGTGTACAATTCTGGGAACAAGCGGTCACAAGTTAATAGTCTGTCTAATGTTGCCTTGCCTTCACCTGGAACAGAGCAATGGCACTAATGGTTGTGTGTGCCTTTCACCTGGAACAGTATACTGGGACTAATGGTCTGTGTAACGTGCCCTTCACTGGAACAGAAGCACTCTGGGACTATTGGTCTCGATGCGATGTTGCCCTTCATCTGGAACAAATGCTCTATGACTGTGCTCTGTTGCCATTTGCCTAAAACCAAACTGTAGGTTGTCTGTGTTATGGCCCTTTTCACCTGGAACTGCTCTGGGACTAATGGTCTTGTCTGTACACCAATTCACAAGAGACAAACGGTCTGGGATTGTGAAAGTTCTTGATACAATGTGCCTTCACTGGAACAAACTATTATGGCACTATTGGTTTGTTGTGCTTCCTTCTTATAGGCACTTTGGGCTAATGATTCTTGTTTGTGTGTTAGACCCTTCACTAGACAAACAGGATGGGACTATTAATAGTTTGTGTAATGTACCCTTCTAGGAGCAAGCACTATAGGACTAATAGTCTGTGTAATGTACCTTTCACCTGGAACAAGCCTCTAGGACTAATAGTCTATGTAACGTACCCTAGAACAAATACTCTAGGACTAATAGTCTGTCTGAGATGTGCTTCATCTGGAACAAACACTCTATGACTAATACTCTGACTGATGTGCCATTTACCTAAAACAAACACTATGGGACTATGGTCTGTGTTGTACCCACTCACCTGTAAACACTATATGACTAATAGTCTGTCTAATGTACCCTTCACCTGGAACAAGCTTACTATGGGACTAATATTCTCTCTGATGTGCCCTTCACCTGGGACAAACACTTTAGGACTAGTAGTATTGTAATGTACCTTCACATAGACAAAACAGTCTGGATATAGTCTGTCTAATGTACCCTTCACCTGGAACAAACACTATAGGACTAGTGGTCTGTTAATGTGCTCTTCACCTAGACAAATACAGGACTAATGGTTTGTTGTAATGTTACTTGCCCTTCACCTGGAGCAAACACTATAGAACTAATAATCTGTTAATGTACCCTTCACCTGCTCTAGGACTAATGGTCTGTGTAACGTACCCTTCACCTGGAACAAGCTTATTCAGGACTAATAGTCTGTGTGGCCCTTCACCTAGACAAATGAGTTGTCTGTCTGATGTGCTTCTGGAACAAATACTCTAGGACTAATGGTCTGATACATTGCCCTTCTGTTCGAAGGACTAATAGTCTGTCTGATGTGCCCTTCATCTTGAACAAACACTCTGGGACCATAAAGTACCCTTCACCTAGACAAGCACTATAGGACTAATGGTCTGTGTAACGTGCCCTTCACCTGCTATGGGTCCTAATGGTTCTCTCTGATGTGCCCCTTCACCTGGAACAAATACTATAGGACTAATAGTCTGTCTGATGTGCCTTCATCTGGAACAAACTCTAGGACTAATAGTCTGTCACAGTGTTGCCCTTCATCTGGAACAAACACTCTAGGACCTGGTCTTGTAATGTACCCTTCACCTGGAACAAACACTCTAGAGTTAATGGTCTGTGTGTGTTGCCTTTCACCTGGAGCACTTGTTGCTTCACCTGTAACAGGGTCCGGGACTATGGTCTGTGCGGTGGCATGTAAATGCTGGACAAACTCTGGGACTAATGGTCATTTGATATGCTTGCCTGGCCAACTGGAACAGAAACACTATGGGACTATGGTCTGTGTGAGTGCCTGGAACAAGCGCTATGGGACTGTAAAGAAGCGCGATGCGGTGGTAGCGGCTAAATGCGGAACAGAAGCACTATGGGGATGAACATATACTTGATGCGGTGTTGCTTCGCCTGGAACGAAACACTCTGGGACTGGTGGTTAACGATGCGGTGTTGCCCTTCACCTGGAACCCAAACGCATGGGACTGGTATACTTGATAGGTATTTGCTTTGCCTGGAACCAAACGCACATGGGGACTGGTGGGCGTGCGGTGTTTTGCTTTGGAACAGGCATTCGCGGGCTGGTGGTGTGATGCAATGTTGTCATCGAAGTAATTACGGGCCTTGTCGCTTGTTGGTGTGGCGATAATACAGGAGAAATCGTTTTGGGCGGTAGATTTTGCGGCGCAGTAGCGCAGCTGGCGTTAAGCCAGACTGGAGTAGTCGCAATGCTCTGACATCGCTATGCTGCCGGTGTGGTGGTACAGTGTTCGAGGGTATTTTATTTTTGAAGCTAATGGTGGGTTTGGTAAATGAAGTCGCCGCCGTTGATGCGGTGATGTCGGGTGTATTAACGTAACTTTATCAGCTCGTGGTGACATGGTTGATATCGGTAGACTTTAATCAATATATAACATGTTAAATAGTCTTTGGTCATGCGCATTTTACATCTGAACGTTAGAATTCGAACGAACTAAGCAATCCTGATATGCTTGCACTGAGTACAAAACAACTGTAATCTTCTACCAAGTCAATCAACCTTCTAACTTATGAAGTGACACAATCTAGAAGTCTTACATACGTAATAAATCACAAAGATCTGTTATTGATCTTGAGACAGTATGCTCTTCATCAGTGTGATGTGTCAGTGCTATAAGAAAACAGGTGTTGTTGTACTGATCTCGTACGTGATGTACAATTACATATTTCTGCCAAATACTGAAACTAGAATACTGCAAATTGTAAAAGTGCCATACTAATACTTAAGAATGTGTTTCTACATCTGTATCTGTGTACCTGTTGCTATGTTAAATTGCCAGTGTATCCGTCTACACCCGGGGTACACATTCCCGTTGGGTTGATTGCACGTGGTGTTGATGCAGTTCTAGCTACAGAGTTGATCACAGTGGTCACCATGCCGACCACAGACACATCGCTAAACACTTCCCAGTATCTTTGTCACACGGTGGATGGTTCGTCTCTGGCAATAGACCACATTGTGATAAGTACGTTCTGTTGAAAGCATGACATCATAAATAAAGAGAGCTTTTAGCTCCCATATTTATGAGTATTACTATTAATTCTAGTATAGAAACACACCCAGTGTTACTGAATATTCCAGCAGGGAGGCCAGGTGTTTCTGAATATCCCAGTAGACAGACCCAACGTGTTACTGAATATTCCAGCACAGGCAGACCAATAGTGTTACTGAATATTCCCAGCACAGACAGACACATAGTGTTACTGAATATTGCTGAGCGAACCTATAGTGTTACTGAATATTCCTTAAACAGACAAATAGTGTTACTGAATATTCCAGCACAGACAGACACATATGATGTTACTGAATAGACAAAGACACATAGTGTTACTGAATATTCCAACTGAACAGACACATAGTGTTACTGAATATTCAACACGATCAGACACATAGTGTTCCTGAATATTCATAGACGAACACATAGTGTTACTGAATATTCCAGCACAGACGACCTGGGTCGCTTTGAGATATTACAGATTGAGACGCATGGTGTTGCTGAATATTCGAGACTTGGACACATGATTGTTGGCGGATATTCCGGCACGAGACGAGACGCATAGTTGATGGAAAGTAACTCCTGGTGCCCACTATCTGTATATGGCTTGGCATTCGTTATTGGTCATCTCACATTACATTTATTCAAGACCATCCAGATTCTAGCATAAGCCTATGATGTCAACGGGCTTTTAACGCGGCGGGTGACCTCATCTTTTTGTTGGTTCTATGGCGGCGATACAACTATGGTATAATATTATCTGTTATTTTGAGCTTCCTTTGGTTGTGCTGCTTGGTGCGGTCGGTTTGTAGTAATTTGTTTCTCGGTTTGCGATTTAGCTTCTTTTTAGAATACAATTTTGAATTTGATCGCGAGGGTTTGATGGTTTCACTGATGGATTTTCCGTTGAACATGTTCGTTCGTCTTGGCATATCGGCACGGGGTGTAACCATCATGCTGCGGATCATCCAAGTCCTGTGGTTTGCTTGTCCCAATGGTGTCAACTGGAGGTAACACATTGGAGTCTACAAGCTGTGATTTCCAACTCTAAACACATATGCGGGTGGGCGTTATTGTAGAGCAGATTCTGTTGTCGTTTTCGCCTTTGTTCGTATCGAAATGTGTCTGTGCTGTTATATGTTCATTCGGTCGGTCTTAAATATAGATATTACAGGAAAAAGATGTCGCCACCTGTATATATTGGCGCCTGTCGTTTTGTTACAAAATACCAACACCCGTCTGTACACCCGAAATTTTATCCTACGTTAGGTTGGTGCACGTAGTGTTGATGCAGTTCTGGCTACAAGAAGTTGATCTGAGTAGCCACCATAACGACAACACATCAACTAAACACTTCAATATCTGTCACACGGTGGAAAGGTTTTCTACCAGGGTGAAAGTCTACAGAGATGTGAACATAGTTGGTCCCAGTTTTGTCTACTCACTTACACTAGAAACCATTGACTGTGGAAATAAACACAAACCAATTGACGTTCGGGAGGACAATGCTACCATAGGTTAGAGTGGAGGGTGGTGGTTAGACTAAAGGACTTGTTGTACAAGACAGACATCTATAATATACTATCGATCAACGCTACGTAAACTCCAGTTACCACTTTCCAACACGAGTCGGTTATGAAGCTTGTTTGTGCATTTTGGAAATAACCAAATACCCAATAATGTAGATAAGTAGCATTCTTTCCTATCCAAAGTATCTATACTGACGTATTAAATTAGTCTGAGGTATAAAGCTGAAGGATGAAAAGAAGGGTAATAGAAAGCCACCTATCAGACGGTGAACACATCTGTGCGATACATTGTGAGACGCAATGCTTGTTGTAATAGCGTACTGAAAATTTAATTGTTTTACGTAACGGCCATGTAGCTAGCCACCATATCCATATCTGCACTGATATGTTACTTCAGTCTGAGATAGGCAGATGTGATTGAAATACTTTCCAGAATGTGTTTCTACACCTGTATATGTGTTATGTTGTTATGTTAGAAAGTACCATCGTCTGTACACCGAGTACATCCCCGTTTGGTTGATTGCACGTGGTGTTGATGCAGTTCTGGCTACAATGTTGATCTAGAAGTCACCATACCGACCAGCCACATCCTTCGCTTACTTGTATGCTGTCACACGATTGAAGGTTTCTGCCAGGGTGAAGTCTACAGAGATATTGAACATAGTTGGTCAGTTTTGTCCCATATGCCCCTCACTGGGCACGGAAACTGAAACAAAGATCAACAAGAGCATTGTTATTTGCGTGCTTTTGGCTGGGCGGTTTTCATAATATCTCTGTCGGTGGTGGTAGATGGTGAGCAGCTTTGAGGAATAGCCAAGTATCGGCTATGGTGTGTTATTCTGCCCATCAATATGCGGGACTGAGGCAGTGTTTGCAGACGTGTTGTTGTTCGTTTTATGTTATTGTTCAATACAAGGGTGAGCATAGAAATGGTGTGGTTGTTGGTGCTTATGTATGAACCAAACTGTTATTGATGCAATGCAAGTTTAAGGAAATGTGGTTGTTGTTGCTTATATGAGACAGGCATTGTCAATGGGGTGAAGACATGAAATGATGTGGTTGTGCCCTGTGCTTATATGAATGTTGATGATACGTGAGATTGGCTTATGAAATGGTTATTGGTTGTGGCTTTGTATGGACAGACATTGTTGATGTGCGAGGTGAGCGTATGGGGAAATGGTGTGGTTGTATATATGTAAATGGACAGGCATTTTAAGGGATTGAAGCATGAAATGTGGTTGTTGTTGCTTATGTATGAACAAACATTATTCAATGCAAGGTGAAGCAAGTGATTGGTTGTGCCCTGTTGCTTATGTATGAACAGGCATTGTCAATGCAAGGTTGAGCATGAAATGGTTTGGTTGTACCTTGTGCACTTATATATGAACAAACATTGTGTCCAATGCCAGAATTAAACATAGAAATACTGATTGTACCTTGTACACTTATATGAACAAACATAATTATTAAGGGTAAACATAGAAATGACGAAAAGTTGTACCTTGTGCCTTATATGAACAAACATTATTGATACTAGAGGGTAAACATAGAAATGTGGTTGCCTTGTACATATATATGAACAAGCTTATTGTGTCCAATACAAGGGCAAACATAAATGGTGTAGTTGTACTGCCACAGTATATATATGGGTTGTACCCTGTACCCTTATATATGAGTTGTACCCTGTGCACTATATATGAACAAGCTTGTTGTTTTAATACAAAAGGTAAGCATATAGAAATGGTGTGGATTGTGCCCTGTACACTTATATATGAACAAACATTATTATTCAATACAAAGGGTGAAGAAATGATGTATTTACTCTGTGCACTTACGAAATGAGCAGTGACCCAATCATTACTTCAATCATACTGGCCACAGCTCCTGCAAAACATTTCAAATTGTCTAATTACTATCATTATATTGCAACAGGATCTGGTCTAGCTCGGAGACTCAGTTTCCGGTCATCGTATTTCCAGTTTCATGTGTTTCCCCGCTCCGTCAGTACAAACTACCTGCTTATGAATTTGCCCAGTGAAGCAACAAACAACATTAAAGCTTGCTTTCACGTCGTTTCAGTTACTTGTCAGTTATACCTGTAGAATTGGGACAAACGGGACTTTAGCCTGTGAGTACCCGAATCGAATCGAGCCTTCGGTCGTGCTATAGGGATTACTTTATCAAGCTATCACCACAGCACCCATACCCTGCACCTCCCACCCCACCTGGCTTCCTGCTACCCTCCCACATGCGGTGACAAGCGGAGACACACAGAGACACGGGGAGCACAGTGACACAGGGAGCCACACACGGAGACACACCAGACACAGGAACATACGGAGACACTGTGACACACAGAAGCCACGGGGACACCTGCAGAACCTGAACACACAGGGAGCACACAGCGACACACGGCCAGCTGACACATAGAACCTGGAGACACAGGAACACACGGAAGGAACTACACAGGAAGGAACACACAGAGACACGGAGCACACACTTTGTGGGAACTGGAACACACCCGAGACACGGGACACACGAGGACATGCTTTTTGAACACAAGAAACACACGGACACTTGGACGCGGATATGCACGGTGCAGGGGGCGGGAGACACCAGAGCAGACGCACGGGGACGCGGGAACTGAGACACACACATGAGACACCAAAGAGACACACAGAGACACGAAAGACACGAAGACAAATGGGTCACACAGAGACACACAGGACACTGAGACACAGAAGCACACGAGGCACTTGGGAGCACAGGGCACTTGGGACACACGAATTACACCCGGAGACACACACGGGCCGCAAGGAGCACGGGCGAGACGCAGGTGCCGGGTGAATAGGCATGGTAGCAGCTGGATTAGCACTGTCAGCCACTCCTATTGGCAGCATCCCACACCTGCCTCCCGGAGCCACGGGCACACGGGTGCCACGAGGAGACACACAGAGAAACACGGAGTCACACAGAACATGGACATACACGCTGGCGCACGGAGACACGCGGAGCACACACGGGGGTGCAGAAGGAGAAACACACGGGTACGAGGAGCACACAGAGAGCAAACAAAAGCCCACCACAGGAGACACGCAAGAGACACACACAGAACTACAGGTAGAAAGCAGAACACACAAAAGAACACACAGAGACACACGAAAGAACACACTGATGATATACAAGGAGGCACAGGGGAACACAAAAGGAACACAGGAACACAAAGTGACTAAAGAACACCTAAGAAACACACACGGAGACACACA